GGCCTTCTCTACTAGTATGTTCTGTTTAAATATAACCTCCGGGTCTGTAATAGCTTTGCTTATGTGTACCTGTGATACCAACCAAAATATAGAGATTTTGGAGGAACTACTGAGCCGCCAAAAGTTTAAGGTTAGGTTGATGGTGGTGATCACAGCTTGTCCATCACAACATGTTGTATAATCTTCTAGACCAACAGATGTTCAGAGCCTGATTTAAAATCAGTAGCATGGGGGGAAAAGTTCCAGTAATGTTTCAACTCTGTCCTTGAAACGTGGCCCATAATTTTTGTTCATCATGCAGTTGAGTCACTGGTTACTGAAAGGATAAAGAAAGTAACACAGATGTTATGCCTTTTTTTCATTTTCTGAAGTCTCTGTAGGATAAATAAACCTCATAGAAAACAACAAATCATCTGCAAATCATCTTCTGAGCAGAGAATGTATTAGTTTGCTATCAAGGCAGCTTGCATCAGAATAAACACTATGTGCATAAGTTTCTGCTTCTCTCCTGTGAAGAAGAGATGAAAGAGAAAAAAGCATCCACAGTGACATCCATAATAGAACCATCAGCCAAAATTAATAGTGCATCATTTCTTTGTGTAATTGAGCATACATGGATAGCTTTGGCCTTTGATAATTAGCCAAGAGTGAAGTAGCTTTATTTAGACCAACACCGTCTGTCTGCTTCAGTAAATATCTACATAATGGAAAGCTTTGCAGGTTCCATGGAATGTCTTTTACTACACTGAGAAATGAAAAGACTAGTGAGTTTAGTTTTGTGCTTTAAAAGCCAGTACATCAATATAGTGCTTTATCTTGTGTGTATCTGTTAATTTCTATCTCTGATTTATACATGGCTGGAAAATGTGCACAATCCTTACACTTATGTGACTGTTGTCTTCCTCACCTAGTTTTCTCATATCAAAAACAGAATAAATAGAAGATCATCCTCATGACCAGTTAATTAATCACAGCGAAGCTTTGGTCATCTTCAGTCAGCTAATATTTCCTAACTTCATTTCACATATCTGTTGAGTTTTGGTTGAAGGTCATTTATATGAGTGTTGGATTGAGGGGCTTTTTTTTTTCATATAAAGAACCCATTTTAACAGACACAGACACCCCCCCCTCCTTTTTTTTAAGTGATTGGAGCTTATCAGTATTTCCCTCTCACAGTTCTCCTTCCCATGCAATGATATGGAATTTCTGAGAGTTGTTCTGTTTTTCTTGCTCTCTTTCTGGCTTTAATACATCTTGAAGGTTTATTCTTCACTACCTCAATTATTTATATAAATTCATTTGTTGGCTTAAGTACTGCACATAACCTAAGATATTTATGTATGCAGATGACAATGTTCTTACCTACTGCTCCTTATAATCCTCTTGTCAACACTTTCCTGTGTCAACTGGCTCAAGGAAAATCACCTCCTTCATTTATATTTTTAAACATGAGAACTGCAACTTTGCTGTTTCCTACCAAAATTTGTAATTGGTCATTAATCTTAAAATACATGTTTATAATTTTAATTTCTCAGCTACTGAATGTATGTAAAAACTCATAAGTCTTGTTTGAGCACAGTCACTCATGGTATGTCTGTGCTGTTCGTGGAAGGTGTGATAGGCTTGTACTGGGACAGTTAAACCGTACCGAAGCCTATACTGCCAATCAGGGACTCTGGGTATGTACTCATAATGGGGATTAGAGGTTGAAGGGCCCTAGGCCTAAGCAAATTAGCCCTTCATCCCCTTGTGCTCCTGGCACGGAAATGGGGTAGAGGCAAAGGGGCTTCTCCTGTCAACCCAATGCTCCTGCTGTGGGGATAGGTCCTGTGCCCCAGTCCTGCTCCCTATCAGGAGCACCTGTTTTTTGTTTTGTTTTTTTGTTTGCCACTGGGAACGTAGATTGCTGAGTTGTGCTAAATAAAGTCCGCATGGGTGGGCTTACAATAACACTGCTGTTTACAATATGGAGTATACTTAGCACACATGCTGACACACATATAAGTTACTAAGCTTACTTATTTTACTACATCTAGACTTCACAGATATACTTTGGTCAAGTTTTTCCATAAATCCTTTTAAAATGTGACAATCTATAAGCAAGCAAATATAATTTTAAAAATATTCTTAAGCATAATGTTAAGTTATCATGACTATTGCCTCGGGTTACATTTACAGGTTAGCATGAAAATCACCTTGCTATAACTGTGTATGAATGGCTAAACAGTTTGACATCAAATGTTTTTGAAATCTTATAGCTATACCTCTAGAAAAAAACACTACAGATTGAACCATTCTAGTCCAACGCCTTTAGGACCTGACTGGTGCCGAGCCAGAGAAATTGCCAAACCACTGGAGCTCAATATTGTCTAGTACAATTACCAACACTGCTCCCATTAGGCTCTTGGAAGGAGTCATTTAGTGGTTAATTTAGAACTAAATAACAGCACAGAACAGGGTGAACCAGTACTGGTGGCTGTAAACAAACTTTACGGGATCATGGGGAAACTTGACCACACCTGTGATAAGTGGACATCCAGCTAACGAAAATCATGCTGGACCATGGATATTGCCAGACCAGAGAGTGCTGAACTAGAGGAGAGGTTTTACCTGTAGTAATACATTTTCCTCCATTGAGCTATAAATATTGTTAATCTAATATAGGTTTTAATCTGTCTAATATTCAGAACTGATTATTTTAATCAAATTTGTTTCATACCCAAGTGAACCATTCATTTTTTTTACAACGTAAAAACTTTAAAGTTGCAAGACTTTTTAAAGCAAAAGGACACTGTAGGGTAATACATTTGTAAAACATACGCAGCTTTAAATGTACACCTCTCCAAATAATATCTGTTGCTGAATGAATACAAATCAAACTTGTATGCATGATATATGCAGCTGTATCTGTAGGTTGTTTTTCTGTTGTGCATTTCTGAACATACTATATGGAATTGGGTTTCCTTTGAGTTCATTTTAATGAAAATCTGATAAATGTAAGTATTACTTTTTATTGCTCAGTTTTGTTATTCTTTCAGTCTTTAGCATAGTGTTAGCACTCAAAATCAGTGACAATTATCCGATATGATTACAGAAGGCCTCCGCTTTGCAACAGCCCGATTTATGACCCATTGCACTTATGACCATTTCTGTAAGTGCGGAAGGAGCTGAAATCCCCCGACTTATGTCCTCGGCCCCACATTTATGACGGGGTATGATGCATGCTGTAAATGTGGACTCAAGTTATGACGCCTCCGACTTGTAACGTTATCTCCAGAACCAATCGTGTCACAAGTCAGGGGCAGCCTGTACATGTATTCATTGTTTGGATGTCATATCTTCAGTTAATAATGTATGGGGTACCACTTGAGTGTGCACGTTCTCATTTACTATTTGTGATTTTTTTTCCATGCTCATGATAGTACAGTATTTCAGTTCCAGCCTCATTCTCATTTCCAGATAGTTTTAAAAATCAATTAAATATAAGCTTGGTAGAAGAATGCATGATTTATAATGTGGGATCAGAATAGACTTCTTTCTTTGTTGAAAATGTAGATGTATGTATGAGCCATTGATATGGCTATTTTGGAGATTAGCCTGATATCAAAGAGAAAACAAAATCCTCCTGCTGGTGTGGCATCTATTTTGCTATGGCTATTAGGGATGTAAAGGACTAGTCAACTGGGGCTCTTATGCATTTCAAAGTGGAAGCATCTGGGTGGAGCCTGGAGTCAGTGGGACTTCCCGCTGGCCCTGGGATTCACTTAGCATTCTAACTTTAAAATGCACAAGATCCCTTGCCTAGTATCGTGTTCATTTCAAAGGTGAAATGTGGAAATGCCTGTCGAGTAGTCGATGGAAATTCTATCGACTACTCAACTAGCAAATTAATCGCTACTTAAAATCCCTAGTGACTATAAACATCAACATAACAAGCAAACACATAGTTTATACATAAAATTCCAGCTGCCACGGCCAAATTTCACTTTATTAATTCTCAGCATTCTGTTTTTGTTTACAATCTAGAATACAGATGCAAAGGTAGGCCAAAAGGAAGCACTTTAGATAACTTGATATTTTTTCATAATCTGGTAAATTCATGGGCCCCACAGAAGAAGTGAGTTTAAAAGACAAATTTGGAGGAGATTTTAAAGACTGATCACGCATTGTACTTGCGGAGGATTCACTGCATAGAATATATAGAGCAGTGGTCCCCAACGAGGTGCCTGCGGGCACCATGTCACCCGCCGGGCCATTTCTGTGTGCCCGCCAAGTGATCGGGACCAGCTCCACCCCCGGGCACGTGGTGCATGGGCGGTGCCGACCCCTGAGCACGCAGCGTATGAGTGGCCCTGCCCCCGGGTGCACGGTGCAAGGGCAGCCCCACCCACAGGTGTGCGGTACATGGGCTGTGCCGGCCCCGGGCGCATGGCGTACGAGAATCCCTGCCCCAGGGCACGTGGCACAGGAGCGGCACAGGCCCCAGGTGCGCAGCGCATAGATGATGCCGGCTTCTGGGCGTGTGGCACAGGAGCGGCGCTGGCGCCGGGAGTGCAGCGCATGGGTGGCACTGGCACTGGGCACGCAGCATATGGGCGGCCCCAGGCACGTGTGCGGCCCCGCCCCCAGGTGCCCTGCGCGTGAGTGGCCCCGCCTCAGGGCGCCCGGCAGCCCCAAAAGGTTGGGGACCACTGATATAGAGGGTAATGTGAAAACAACAGTAGAAAAAGGACATGACATCTGCCATTAAGGCTAGCATAACTGAATAATGGATATGGATATACAAGATGTGATCCAAGATTTAATCTTGGCTGTGTTGTGGCTTTGAAGAGTACACAAAATTTGAACTTCATGCAACAGAGGAGAGGAAGTGTTGCTGACTATTAGCAATAATAATAAGTAATTATTTGATATACTTGATGTAAAATATAATACTGATTTATTCTTTTTTGTTCTTTCTTTTTACATGTGGCACATTACAAAACTGGTTCCTCCTGAAGATTGCTGTGTTCACTGTATCCTGGCTTGCTTGTTTTGTGAGTTTCTCACCCTCTGTAATATTGTTCTGGCACAAGCTTCCTGTGGCATCTGTACATCCGAGGCCTGCTGTTGTTGCTGTGGGGACGAAATGGGGGATGACTGTAACTGCCCATGTGACATGGATTGTGGAATAATGGACGCTTGTTGCGAATCATCAGACTGCTTGGAAATCTGTATGGAATGTTGTGGAATTTGTTTCCCATCATGAAATATTTTTATCTTTTTTATTCTTTTAAAAACTGGAGAGCTTTAAAAAATACTTTTGAAGAAAAATAAGGTAAGAGTCTCACACAGTAACCTAGTATTTGCACTGTTAGCTAGCTAAGTTTAAAGAATCGTTAGAGAAAACAAACCTGTAATCTAACATGTTTTATGGTTGTTTAGTATGTGAAATTCTAAATTACTTTCCAACTCCGTTTAGCTTTGCAAATAGGACAGTTGACGGCAATCAACTTAAAGGCCTGATACAACAGACTTTTAATGTTGCTGTTTGAGTTAAGTTTTTGCCAGAGAAAAGACTACAAAAGCAGTGCCTTAGATATTACCACCTTACTTACTTTAATGCTAAATGCTTAAATAGCCTTTCATACCTAAAACACTTCTTGCACGACTTGAAAGCAAAATACCTTAATTTAATCTTTTATGGTTTGAAAGTAACCTTTGCCTATTAGATTTTGAAGTGAATTGGTCTTGGCAGAGTGGTCACACTGAAATGTTTCTTTGATTTTTGGGTGATTTTCTGTACTTACCATGGTAAATGCTGGTAATAGGTGAAATCCAGATTTATTATGTCAATGAGAGTTTTGCCATAGACTTAAAAAAAGACCAGTATTTCACCCACTGGCTTCCAAACCACAATAAACTTTTTAAATACAACCTGTATTTCCCTTCTGTGTTAATGATACCAGAAATAATTAATTTTAGAACAAGTCTAGGTACAACATGAAGTATACCCCTTCTCTGTTGGTCTATATAATCAAAGTCACTCAATAGGAATATCAAAAAAATTATCAGATTCTAAACGTGCCAATTTTTGTGTCTTTACAGCCACATATCCTAATTTAGTGTCTCACACACACACACACACACACACACACACACACACACACACACACACACCTAACCTCTTCTCCCTGTTCCTGTGTTGTAGGAGAGATGCACACAAATAGGGGGAATGGGCAGACAGAGAAAACAGTGAAACAATTAGACAGGAAGTACTGCCAAATGCAGAAATTAACTTCTAAAATATTGTACACCCTCTCTCTGAGTTACGAACGAGTTACAGACCAAACAGTTGGCCGTAACTCGATCCATTCGTAACTCGGACTCCATTGAGTTACATGCAACTGTGCTGTTTGTAAGCACGGGTCGCGTTTGTAACTTGGGGACCGCCTTTACGACCGCTTTGGGAGCTTTGGTCATAAGTGCGAACGGTCGTAATTCGACCATTCGCAACTCGGGGAGTGGCTGTATCTTAAATAATTGGTTCTGTTAAGTGTGTAACTTATACACAATAAATAAAGAATTTTCAAATAGTTACTTTTAAGTTAGAATCATAGAATACTAGAACTGGAAGGGACCTCGAGAGATCATCAAGTCCAGTCCCCTGCCTTCATGGCAGGACCACATACACTCTATATTATCCCTGATAGGTGTCTGTCTAACTTGTTCTTAAATATCTCCATTGATGGAGATTTCACAACCTTCTTAGGCAATTTATTTCAGTGTTTAACCACCGTGACAGTTAGGAAGTTTTTTTTTCTAATGTCCAACCTAAGCCTCCCTTGCTGCAGTTTAAGCCCATTGCTTCTTGTCCTATCATCAGAGGCCATGAAGAACAATTTCCCCCCCTCCTCTCTGTGAGACCCTTTTAGATACCTGAAAACCACTATCATGTCCCCTCTCAGGCTTCTCTTTTCCAAACTCAACAATTCCTTCAGCCTTGCCTCATAGCTCATGTTTTCTAGACCTTTAATCATTTTTGTTGCTCTTCTCTGGACCTTCTCCAGTTTTTCCACATCTTTCTTGAAATGTGGTGCCCAGAACTGAACACAGTACTACAATTGAGGCCTAATTTGTTGATTGTGTTTCTCTAAAACTAAAGGAACTATAGTAATGTCTTTTAAAAAAAACAACCCTAACATTCAGTGGGCTAATTTTTTCTCTTCATTGTACCATGTAAATATGGATTTTTCTTGGTGTAATTAAGTTGGGCCAGCATCTGTTCTCAGCTATTCATTACAATTTCCAGATGTTGGGAAATAATGGTGCAACTACTAGTTGTCTCTGCTCCACGTCTATGGCTCATTAGTTATGTTACGTAAACTACCTGAACATCTTGGTCTCACATGTTAAACTTTGCTATCTAGACTCCAGATTTCTCCTGTTGGTAGCTTGTTGTAGTTTGTTGGTCCTCGTTAATTTAAGTCTCACTACAACAGTGCTTGATGGATAATATCACATTTCCATAAAGCTAGTTGACCATAAAATAGTTCTTTTCACTGTATAGAATTCAATTTTTGCAAATGTGACAAACTGAAAGAGCATGGGAATGTGAAATTGACTGACAACACATTGTTCTTATCTAGAGCCTGGTCCTGCAAACACTGTCTAGTGGTGCTTACTACTGTGAGTTCTCTCTGAAAATGATAACCTTAAAATGGCTGTATCCTCCACAGTTCTGTTAAACTAGGGAGATGTTTCCTTCTGCTTTGACTTCTCCCCAGTTGTGGTATATTCCACTTCAATGCAGATTCATTCAGCAGGTATCTTTGTCCATTTTTGACAATTACTACAGTGGCTGTACACATCTGGTTTTGCTACATAGGTAGGTAGGGCCAGATTCTGATCTCACATTAAGGTTTTCTCCTCTGTCATCGTTTTCCAAAGTTGTGACTTCATTAAGGAAGTGCTCAGATTTTATGTTAATGGACACTATAATAGAGCAACTAAATTGTTAAATAGATAAAACTCCTGAGCTCAGAATCAAACTCCTGGGCTCTTTTCTGACTCTTTACACCCTGAACTATGCTGGGAAGGGAGAAGAGTCATGCTGGTTGAAAGGCAGTGCCTGGAGGCTTTTTGCCTTTGTAAGATAGAATGCCTCTGGGAAACATGGTGGGCATCGCAGTAAGCAGTGTGACTTGTTGCTCTTGGGAAAGTACACCCGTGGTGTCCTGCACTCTAACCACTAGTCACATGTGGCTGTTTGGTCTGTTGAGTGTGGCTAGTTGGCTTGAACAATGTGGCTATTTGGCTGGTTGAGTGTAGTTAGTTCAGAACTGGTTGGACACCACAGGGTAGACAGTACTTTCCCCAACACAGTTCTAACGGATGTCACCACAGTAGTGTTTGGGAAATGCTCTTTGGGACCAGGTAGCACTGAAGACTGTGCTAGTTCTCCCATCTCTTGTGTTGCTTAGCACAGCCAAATAAACTATGCCTTCCCGTTGTTTTAAATGTGCTTGTGAGTCAAGGGAGAAGGGCTTTCTATGTTGTCTTGGGGTGCACCTCTGCCAGAGTAGTCACATTTTGGATTATAGGTTTCTGGAAAAATGAATGTCTGCATTATTAAGATTTTAGTAGATAGATACTAAATTTTAAGAATTGTTCAGTATTGCTCTTGAAAATAAATTACTATACCATAGGGCTGCTATAGACGGGCAAAAAATTATGGTCTGTGTTTTCATGGTTTAAGATGTTTGTTCATGTAGATTGTTATACATACATACATATATATTCTGCTTGTAGGATATAAGGATGTGAACGACTAGTCGACTATCCGATAAGCAAATGCTTATCAGATAGTCAGTTAGTCGCTTCACTCCCTTGCTGCCTCTATGAGAGAGAGGCAGCAAGGGAGGGGGGAAAAAAGGGGATGCTTCAAAGCGGCAGTACCACGAGAAGCCTGGGGTCAGCCACTGGGCTCCATGTGATGCTTCTGCTTTGAAATGAGGCATGCAGCTCAGATCCTCAGCTGGCCCGGGCTGCCCACAGCATTTCAAAGTGGCAGCGCTGCATGGAGCCCAGGGTCAGCTGCGGATTCCCCCACTGACCTCGGGCTCCATGTGGCGCTGCCTCTTTGAAATGCCACGGGGAGCACAGGATCAGCAGGTGTCTGCTTGAGTCCCCTTTTGGCCCCGTGCTCCCTTCAGCGCTTTCGCCTTTGAAGTGTAGCAATAGCACTAGGGCTGTTGCAACACTTCAAAGGCAGAAGCTCCTTTATGGACTAATCAAATAGCTGATGAGCCAAATAATTGAAATTTTACATCTTTCGTAGGATATTTCACAAATGGAAATATTTTGGGTTCAAAGTAGAAAAAGGTGGGAAATGCATATATTTCATTCCTTTTTTTTTTTTCTAAACAGTGTACTTCCAATGTTGTTAAATGAAAACCAAGAACAGTTCTGTTCATGATTTATGTAATTAGAATCTGGATATTTATGTATATCTTATTTTAATATTTTCTTGCATCCACTTGATTTGGGAAATATTGGGAATTGAAAATACTGGCGGGTTATAGGACATACAAAATCCTTTCAGTGATTTGGAACTATCAAATCATGGCAGATTTAATTCTGAAAATTTTATTTGTGTGATATGTTTAACATTTAAATATATTCTGCTACTATTTGTCATAGAAATATTAGCATTTTTGTAAAATTTATCTCTGTAGCAGAGAATATTAGTGAGTAGTTAAAAGAACTTTTATATATTTATATTCTTAAAATTCTTTTTTGTTGTGTCCACTCTGTAGGCAATCTTATGAGCACCTTGTGTAATAAAAACAAGCAGAACTAAAAGTAGACAATGTGAAAAGGTATAGTTGAAATAAAAAATCATTACTCATCAAGTTTGTAAAATTTCTGGTGGACATTCACAATGCTTCATTTTACAGTTCTGCAAATTGGCCCTGTTTTTTACAAATTGGTAAATTGCTATTTTATATTAACTGGATCTGTGTAATTGTAAAACACTATTTTAAAATAAAATAACTTTATTTTGAAACTTTGCCATACTTCATTATTATGTCATTGTCTTATTACTGTTTTGCATTTAACATTACCTGAAAGTCTCTGCATACAGACATTGCTTTGTAGGCCTACTGTTTTATTACAGGTGCCTAAATAATGTTTATGATAGAGAGAGAGTGCACGTATGTCTGTGTTTGGAGACCAATGCTATGGTTACACGGAGGCAAATACACTACATGCCCTTATCAGATAACCTTAAATCTTTCTACAAAACCTCTGTTAACCTAAATTTCTGAGTCCTACAGATGTCAAAAAGCCCTCTGCCTGGGCTTAGATCTTTTTTAGGCATTTGGAAACACTGTCAAAATTGTCATGTTAAATTTAGATTAATGGGCTAATCGATGCAAATTGCATCCACTATTCAATTAGTCAATAAGGGAGTATTCACTTTAGAAGTGTTGCATCAGCCCCAGAGCTGTTGCTACACGTCAAAGGTGAAAGCGCTGTGGGAGTACCGGGTCAGTGGGCAACTCAAGCAGTCCACTGCTGACCCTGGGGTCCCCGCGAGTTTTCAAAGCAGCAGTGCTGTATGGTGCCTGGGCTCAGCTGGGGACTCTTAAATAACCAACTGAGCATGGGTGCCATGCAGTGCTGCTGCTTTGCAATGCCACAGGGAGCCTGGCATCAGGCTTTCCACCCTAGGCTCCATGCGGCGTTGCCACTTTGAAATGCTGCATGCAGCCTGAGGTCAGCTGGGAACCCAGGCTGCCTAGGCTCTGGCCCCGGGCTCCGTGTGGCGCTGCTGCTTTGAGGCACCCACTCCTCTCTCCCGCCCCTTACTGCCTCTTCCTGATTAGAGGCAGCAAGGGGGGGCAAGTGACTAGTTGACTAGTGTGTCAACTATTCAATTAGAATTTGCTTATCTGATAGTCAACTAGCCTTTCATATCCTTACTCTGTTGTGGTTAGAGTTAAGAGAAGGTAAATCAGAGATTTTTCTTTCTGAACCAACAGTAGTGAAGGTATTTGGAATACTCTTTGAAGCACCAAAGATTGACTCAAGAAGAGAGAAGTGGCCTGAGATGCTCTATATAAAAATGAGGATTCACTATACAGAGACTAATCTTCCTCACTTCCTAGCTAAGCCTTCTAGTACTTTTATACTGCAAATGCTTTCCAGTTCTAAAGGTAGCGACATGCTCTTGGCCTAATATGAACATCAGAAAATGGAAAAGTCTTAAAAGTTATCCTGTACCCACTTGAACTTGTTCAGGGCACTCAACTTTCTAGATGATGAAGTAGACTACCTATATACAGACCCATTGATCTAGGAGCTTTGTCATGAGCATTCACCAAATGTGTGCCAGTGATTTTTGCACCAACTAGCTCTCTTATCAGTCTTTACCATGGCCAACTATTTCCATCCTGGTTAGAAAGGAGTACCATCTTCACTCCGCAAAATAGGGGCAGAGGTAGGTTTTGATTACAGGATCAGGGCCTATATGTGGCTTGACTTTTTGTTTTTAAATTTTCTGCAATCTAATTTTTCCTCCTTGTGCCTATGCATTATAGTACTGTCTAGATCAACACTTTACTGAAATACAAAATAGTACACTTTTTTGTATAACTTTTAATACACGTGTAACATCTTATTCTTTTTTTTTTTTTTTTTTTTTTGGAATGCATGTAGTATTTCATTGCCA